AATCGGAATTTTTCGAATGTGGACTAATCAGCAAGCAGCGGAGCTTCAAGTGGGATGAGACACGGGTTGTGTAAGCCACCGGTGTCCCACAACTTAGCAATCAGTGCTCTCCACTCGCCTGGTGGTTTTTTCCTAATACCAAAACCTGACAGATCCTCTGCGGTGTTTCATCGTAACTTAAAGCTTAATTGTGGCGTCCCCATTGCGATAATACTTCCAATACCTCCAAAATAAGTATGCGGATAGGAAAAGCCTAGTTTTGACCCGTCTGGGGCTGAATACTATGTGCCGATGATTAGTGACCTGAGGCCACTTAATTCGTTCCTACTCTATTTGTCCGGGGACAAACTCCTTCATTTTATGTTTTACAACGAAATTAAGTGTTCCCATGGTGCCTTTTAAGAGCTACTTACTCCGAAAAACAAGGGAGGGAGTTAGCACACATGTTTTGACTTCCATTGGGAGCTGTGAATACACAGGTGGATTCAGGAGCAATCGATCAAGGATGGGAGTCAATTTGTGCTACGCATCGAATCTAGAAATCCCAAGAGTGGCCGCTGCGCCTCATCGTAGGTACGAAAACTTAAAAATACCATAACTACTAAATTACCAATGAGCTGGCAACTATATCATTAAAAGAGGGTTTATTCATATTTATGGCATCAGTACAATTATATTTTAAGTTGCAGCGTGAGGACCGCTAATGTACACATTTCTACAGAGCCTTGGCAATTAAGCGCCTCATTCGGTGCGTGAAGTTTAGTAGTGAAGACCAAAGTTATCCGAGGCTCGATTGGATCTCTATCCACGAGAAGTGAGCCTGACTGAGTCTGACTGATGGGCCAAGCGGAACTATAATGGGTTTTCCGACAGAAAGGCTACCAATTGTGTACCTTAGATCGAACCAAGATATCGTTGCTCCACCAAAGCCGGTAACTTGAGGTAACCTGGTAGAATCGTGAAGAATTATCAATGATGGATGCGGAATTTGTCTTACCAAACTCGCTTTTATTGACAAAGTTTCCCGATGCCTCAAGCTATCTAACCACCTGGCAGCCTCCACTGTATGGGATCTCCTCGGGCTTTAGTGTGTACATGTTACGCATGGGCTATACAACAAATCTACTCAGGAGTGGGTCAGACTATTTCAACTGCCCACGCAAGTTTATGGACATTTAGGACGAAGGGGGAAGTGAGTACAGGGAAGCAAAACGCTCTCTACTATTGGGGAGGCCGTTCTCGTAAAGCAATGTACACGGCGGCGCTTAGGAGGGAATAAATGTAGCCGGGCCTCCTACTCATCGAGCTCTGTCCAGACTAGACCAGGGCCAGCTGCGGATAACTTATGCTCGTGGCCTAGATTCCGGCCTAGAGATGACGGAGGAGCTGGTAGCATCCCGAGGTGGTTTTGGGCACCTCACAGTCCCCTTGAAGCGACATGAGCACGCTTCGAAGCTCATAATCACGGATGACTCATGGGTTTGCATAACCTTTCATAAAAATCGATTGGTGTGCTTTGATTGGATTGTATGTGGACCAATCAGTCCACGGTTCGAGGCGTCTTCCGTAAACCCGATGTGGTCCATCGGCCCTCGTCATGGTCGTCTAAACCTCCATTCTGGTCAGTCCTCCGAACTCAGATGTCAAGACAAATTTGCATTATTTAAACGCCTTGCTGGCCTTTGGCATGTGGCTTTTTGGGACTGAGTTATCTCGCTCTTGGCTTGTTCGACCAGGGTCTAAAGTTGATTTGACTCCACTTGATCTATCCTGTCACACTAGGCCAAACTGCATTGCGCTACTCTACACTACATTACACTTAATACAACTATTCCCCAAATTAATCGGCGCAGGATAGCACAGAAGAAATCAAAACGACTCATACTCTATCACACACATGTTCCACCAAAGGCCTCTAGGCTGCTAATGTCATCCGATGTATTCAGTTGTCCAATTCCCACTCATAAAGTGTTCTTCTGGAGAGTTGGAAAAACCGAGAATCCTATTTACTATAGTTCTTGGCTTAGGCAATCCAGCCAGGTAAACTTGGTCGGGAAGGGCTAGTATTGTAAAGATCAGGTCTACGATATGAGTCATATGACACGACGTAGTGAAGGGCAACTTCAACTTAGCTTATGTACCGGATTCCGTGCCTCATTCGCTTCTCTAGTCCTTGGCGCGGTCGAGGCATCGGGGATTTTCTATTAACCCCTTGCGCCTCTGTTGCAGATAATTCAGAGGTCGCCAGATTCCGGTCATTTTTCGCGCAATCGGCCATTAGTACTACAAGTGGGAGGAATGAATGGGCTTCACTTCTGCCGTTCTCCTCATGAAATATTGATGATTCACTGAAATAACATACTCTCAACAACATCTTTTAATCCCGTCTGTACAGCAATAACAATAACTAAAGCACTTTTGTGCGTAATTGCTTAAGAATAGGTCGAAGTGGGAAGGTTTTTAAAGACCAGTTTAAATGGAAGACAATTTAAATTAGGGGTAGAGTGCTGGTGTCATAATAAGTCGGTGGGTATAATAATGATTTATTGTCCCCGAGACGCTTATCATTTGAAAGTAATAAAATGGCAGGTCCCACTGGT